AAACCAAATCTACCTAGAGAGTCACTATATATATATATTGTCCTCCTACCTACAAATGTATACTTAGTCCTGCCAATGAAAGTCTAATAAAGAGGAATATCCCATAATACATTTGCTTAGCTTTATGCTGTCATGAAGTGCCTTTGGGTTTTTTTTTTTTCCTTCCCGCATTGGAAGTATGCTGTTAACATTCTGGAATTTAGTCATAGTGGTAGGAGAAGTCAATGTGGTAGGCACGACCATGGATCAAAGCCCTGCCGTTTTGTATTTATAACTCTTTCAGTACACTTCTAGGTTACATTTAAATGGATATATGTTGCATGGGAACTCTGAACTACTTTGGCAGGTGCTTTTGTTATTCCACAGCGTATTTTAATTAATCTGTGCGTTTTAATCATTCATCAGAATGCTTATCTGTGCTCTTAACGTAAGGTAAGATGACTTAGAAACACTTGGTTTTGAAAACAGGCATAGAAATATTTAAGTAAATGGGCAAATGCCTCTCCCCGTAAAGCTCCTGCTATTTCATAAACACGGCAACAGACTGTGCGAAAGTAAATCTGTCGATAGTCTGCCTTTCTCTCCCCAGGAAACTTAACAGGAGTTTACCAGCAGTCTCCCATCACCCGCGGCTCCGCATAGCTACAGCACCGGGTTGGCCCACCGAAATAAAATGCCAAAATGCCAAGGAAAGGACGGGTTGCGGGCAGAGGGGAACCGCGTCTTCGGGGCGACCCCCGGGCTTCCAGACGCACAAACTCCCTTCGCCTTGACCTCCCGCCTTCTCCCCGCCCACTAAGCGTAAGACTGCACCGAGAGCTTCGCTCCGCTTCTTTATTGCGGCTCCCCGGTTGCCTAGTGACTGGCGGCCCTGGTTCTTTGCTTGCTCTGGCCGGCGACGTGGCAACAAAGGCTGGGAGGGCAGAGATGCCGCCGCCGCCGCGGCGCTCTGGGGCGCCGGCCGCCGCGGGGGACCATGAGCGTCCCGGGTAGCTTCCGTCTCCGCCAGTTCCGCAGAGGCGAGGGATTTGGGTGTCGGTTCGCCACTTGCCCTCCGCTGCCTTTCGCCTCAGCGAGCGCGGCGGAAGGGCCGCTATGAGTAGGAGCCAGCAACGCACCAGCCTCGAGCAACGCGGTGCGTGAGGGAGCCCGGCGGGCGCGGGACGTGAAGGGGGTACCTCGAGTGGTCTGCGCGGGGAACCTGCCGCGTAATGAAAGGAGGGAGAAATTCCCGAGAAGGGTTTGGAGTCTAGTAGCACTTTCTTACCTAGGACAAGGGTAACAGTGCTAGCCTACTTTACAAGGTTGTTGTAAAAAGAATGGAGGTGAAGCATTTGAACCGTATCACAAAACAGCACGATCCTATGCATACACATGGAGAAGCATGGTTCCAACAGGGGGCTCAGCCACGGATAGGCAGCCTTTGAACCCCCCTTTTGATGCCTGTCTGATCATATTTGATGAAAATGGATGGCATCGTCTTGCAACATTTTGAAGCATGAAAATTATAGATTTTAATAACAGAGGCCTCAAACTAAGGGTAAATTGAGTTGAGCTGGATTCCTAGTGACTACATACTGTTTTCTTGTCTTCAGTAACAATGCTTTCTTTTGTGTAATTTTTATTGAAAAAAAAATTGTACAGGATTAAAAACTAGACACATAAAGAGAAAATTAGAAAAGAGAAAAAGATATAAAAAGATAAAAGGAAAGATGAAAAACAGTGAAAGTCAAAGAAAGAGAAAGAAAATAGAAAAAGAAAAATATTTAAAGAAATGACTTTCAATCTTCTTTGCAGCAGTTACAAACACGGTTATTACCATTTCCTCCCTCCCAAATTATAACATGGTTCCCTTCCCATAAACAACCCTTTTTATTCATTAAATCCCAAAATCACCACTTCATTTTTGTCCATTTTCAGCAAAAAGTCTATAAAGGGTTTCCAGTCTTTTATAAAAGTAGTTATTGTTCCTTCCCTAATCAGGTCCATTTAACCATTTCAGCAAATAGAATGCTTTCTTTTGGATTTTTTTTTTAAATTGTCCAATCTAGCCTCAGATTTCTTTATAGTCTCTTATCCAAGTACTAACCAGGTCTGACTCTGCCTATCAAGATTCAGGAAAAACAAAACAAAATCCTTGCCCTCACTTGTGGATATCATCATCCAACTTAACTGCAGCCCTCAGGCCCTTCCCGAAAGTTAAGTGTAGCCCGCTGCTGTGCTATGTCATAATGTGCTTTATGGTTTGGAATGTGTGAATACAGCTATTATGGTCTAGCTTCTGGTTTAGCATTGTCAATGAGACTTGTCATTTTTCAAGAAGCTACGGTTAAACAAACCATGGCTTAAACACTGTCTAAATCCAGCCAGAACCACAACTTTCATTAAGCTAAATATGGCTGGTTCTCAGAGTACAGTATACTGGATTGCAGTCTAACAGATTGTAAAAGTGTCAGAAGTTAAAGAGGTGATAAGGTGATTTTCCTGCCTGAAAAAGCAGAAATTTAGGGATTACTTGCGGAAAACAATGCAGCGCCGATGCTTCAAGCATGCCTTTTATTCATTTTATTTTTACATAAAATTAATGTAAAACTAAACATTTCATTGTGCAAGAACGAAGCTTGACAGAAATGAAGCTTTAGCAGTCACGTTAAAAGATGTACTGTATAATCATCCTGAATGGAACTAACAAAACTGATTCAGTAAACAGAACTCTTTGTATGGTAGGAATGTACAGAGTGAGGATACCAATTATTTGTAAGGGGCAAATGGTAATAGGAATAATTGTCCTGTAATCTGCTTATAATTATTATGCTGCTCTCCCATGTGTATAAAAGTATCATTTAGAACAGTGTTTCTCAACCTTGGCAGCTTTTCAGATGGGTGGACTTCAACTCCCAAGGCTGGCTGGGGAATTCTGGGAGTTGAAGTCCACGTATCTGGACATTAGATCGGAAGAGCGG